TTCTTCTCGGGGTGCTGCAATCAATACAGAACAGTGAATCTGCGCCTGTGACAGGATTAGAGAACCCTGCATAAATTCTTTTCTACATGCGAATGATTATTTCCATCTTACAAGTAATTTTCTTTTATAGAAAATTCTGGAAAATTATACAGGTCAAAATGGTCAAGAGAAGCTAGTAAAATGATGGAAAACTATTACTTGTGACTTGTGAAACTCAGTTAAACGGGCACTGTAACGGTTCTATGCAAAAGAAAGCACACAGACTGTAGCCATTATTATGACGCCATCGCCGATATTTCAGTCACACAACATGGCCATCCCCAAAGTAGACAGTGCCAAGTGACAATTTATCAAATAATTAGTTTATGATAAATATCTGAACCTGAATTAACTATTCGTACCTTATGATACCAGGTTTTTAAAAATTCGCTTTTCGCAACGGATTCTGCATGTCGGAATTTTGAATATACATTCAAGCATGTGATAAGCGTTCTAAAATGACGAATATAAAAATGATAGACGTAGTGAACATAAAAAATACCTCAAGACCAGCCCACCGCGCAATTTCAAAGCGCTTTCAGGTTTTACCTTTTCGACCGCGTGATCTGCATCAACAGTTTCTGCCATGTGATGAACACGGATGTCTTCCGTTTCAGCCATCGATTTGTCGAGCATAATAAGTTCCTTTCTAAATTACTAAGTAATTTAGAAAATAAACCATGTAATTACCACCAACATTTTTGGTAATGATACATACTGCAATGATTCATTTTTCATGTTGAAGCGTGCACGTCTATATTACTGTACGAAAAGCGATTTTGGATAAGGGGATAAGGAAGTGAAATTTTATTTTATTATCATCTCACATTATATTTCTAACAATCTCTTTGAAATTCCTAAAAAACGTTAATACCACTGCTACTCCGTGCGACTTCACATGTATGAATGTAAATTCGTATATCACATCGGGGGTTGAGGATAACGCTCTCTTAAATGTCACGTTCAGTAAAAAACATGATTATTGACGACTGTTCTAGAATTTCGGTGCAAGAGTCATTTTCATGTTACGTAACTGTGCATGAACTCATAAGTCTGTAAGCAGTTCACAAAGATCACAGCGAACCCTATCAAGGAATCTGGATGAGCCACAGCCGGGAGGGATTTCAAAACAATTTCAGCAGAAAAGGCAGTAACTATATTCTCAACTTAACTACAGAAGTACTTAAGGGAACAGAAATTTTCTCTCCTCGCAGACATGAAAAGGTGTCTGACACAACCGAGCTGAACGCGACACATACGACACATGCAGAACAGGGCTCCGACGTAGTTTACATTAACCTAAAAAAGGAAGCGCTAACTCAGGATGCATAACGAGCATCATGCTGATGCGCGCCATACCCCTCTCGGATTCCAGTTCAGAAAGACTTTATGATATGAAATGGAATTTATTCATCGCATTTCACTCTGCCTAGAAATAATATTCAGTCAGACAGAGTGAAAAAATGCAATAAAATAATCCAAGAGGTCATACGTCATCTCAAATGCCCTAATGAAATTGTATTAATTGCGAAGTGACACAGTACTGTAATAAATGCCAAAAAAACTCGAGAAAGTGGCAATACGGAATTAAAAATCAACTGAACTAAGAAAGGACATGCAATCAAATATCCTGAGGGGATCCAAACAACAGTTACCAATGAACTTACAAAAAGTTTATAAAATGTAGATCCATGACATGTAAATCCATTATAAGAAGGAAGAAGTCACTTGCAGAGGGAATGTAGCGTGGTGAGCGTTCAGCTCCGTTAAGAACATCCAGCTTGGAAACTACAGCAAAGGTACAGGAAAAACCTTTTCAACACATCTTTTCAGATAGGCAGAGCATATAGCTCTGCTAAATGACCACAGATGGACCGCGGTTAGCTACAAGAGATCATCGCGGGATCACAAAAGACAACCTAGTCGCCCACCAAAATAGTGGCCGAAGAATCATCGAGGCAAAAATGGTGGAAAAATTGAAGAATGAAAGTTGTGATAATGCATTCAATCTCATTGCTCAATACCTTTGGGTCAAAATGATGCTTAAAATTCACCAAACATTTAAATGATAAAACATAAATGATCTATACTACAAACAAATCGGTTTCACTTTAAACTAAGCAAACAAATGATTGTGCAAGATAAACAACTAGGAACGTGCTGTTTTGTATAAAACGGGCCTTCTTCAGGATAATCATGAAGTGCGGAAGCTACGCGAGTCATTAATTCAAGTAGTTGCATCTGCACTTTGACCTGCAAACCAAGCCGCTTTTGCTTGTTGCTGTCATTTCAATGCTTTGTTAGCGACAGGCACAATGAAGCTAATCCTGCAAAAAAGTTTCTATCCCTTGCTCCAGTTGCCACTTTCGCAGAACTGATTCGTCCATGTCCATTCTTTAGTGCCATCGGAAATAACTGTGCCCACTGAACTCTGATCGACGGAGGCTTCTCTTCTCTGTCACGCATGGAGCACAATCCTTAAATTGATTTAGTTGCCGAATATTAAGCATGCCTAAGAAACCGTTTACACCGCCGTTGCCGGTCCCAAGCCCGGTTCAATAAGGACGAGATTGGAGACCGTGGCAAAATCTCCGTAAAAGATCGCCACATGTCATTTACGGTATTGACAGCCATCAAAAATTATACCGGCTCGATCGTCGCTCGGGTTACCAAGGGCCGCG